CCCATCCCAATTATCCCAGTCACTGAATCAATCCACCTCATAGAGGGCCTTCCTCTCCTGTGCTGTCCCTCCACCCTCCCAAGCATGATGTCCCTTGAGTTACTTGAGTATAACTAACAATGTAGGTTCTCAAATATTTCAAGTCGCCTACTTACCACCACTGTAGTAACAGGAGTTACTGAAACAGGCAGAGGAAGAAGGGATATTTATCTTATCTTTATAATATATTAAAAACACTTACTGATATTAAGAAGCAGATGGATTGTTCCAACTGTCCTGTCTGTAATTGTTGTCATTCTGGAATTTATGAATTGCTTAAGCCATAAACACCTCAGTCACTGTTATTCATCCTCCGTTTGGGCAGTTGATTAAATGCCAGCATTTTACAAGTGAGCTGCAGAAATAAGAAACTCGGGTTTTGTTCTCTTTGCCTTAACAGTTTGTTTCGATGTTGGCTTTTATTTGTTTGTTTGTCTTTTACAATCTCTTTAGCCTCATGTATAATATAGCTTAAATTGGGTGTCATTTGACAAAGTGTTATTGAAAATGTTTTCATTACAGAATTGCATCATATAGTGTGACAGTGTTGCAGTAAATGAACAGTCTGGAATATAAATCTCTATCTCTTCTCTTTGGCGAAACGTTAGGAAGGTAATGCTGTTGATTGTCGTCAAGTGAGCACGACTCAAAGCGACCTTATGAACAAAAGGCCTAAAGCTGTTCTGTAGCTATTATCATTTATCAAAGTTCATCGAGTTTCCAGAGGCATGTCGTTAAGGAAGTGGATGCTGTGCTCAATTATGACATATATAGATGTTTAGAGTCATGAAGGAAAAAATCAGAATGAGTTCCCTTTCTCTTTGTTAGTTGTACAATTATGTCTTTCTTTTATTGAGTAAGGATATATTTAGGATATATATTTATTTAAATATATATATATATTTATTCAGTAAGGCTATATTTATATTTTATTCAGTAAGGATATATTTTATCTTATGGAAAGATAAAAATGGAGAAAGCATACATTGATTTGCTCCTTTATTTTCCACTGTCTTTTATATTTTTCCACAAGTTTACCAAAATATAACAAATGTTTAAAGAACACTGGGTCTTTAAAAATCAGAGAATTAGTCAAAGCAGGTATTCTAATATTTTAAGGTGTTTTGGAAGTGTTGGCTAATCTTTAGTGCAAATATTTGTTTTATAATTAGCAACTTTTCGTGGAGTAGTCAAAGCTAGCCCCACTAATATGATTCATATTAACCTCAGCATTCTAGAAGTGCACATAGGCCACATGGTAACAATGAATAGTTTAAACTTAACTCTGGCAAGCAGTCAAGTTGGATAGCACTGGTAAAATTAAGTTTCTTTCTTTCTTTTGCAATTTAAGAATTAACTTTAATACCAGAATAAAAGTAATGTAGGGAAACTCTTTTAAAAATCACACACAAATAGAATTATTTAGAAGACATTAGCAGGAAGGAATTCAACACTACAATGTGACTGAAGCATAGTAGAAGATGGAAGAAAATCTGTATGATATTACATTATGTTTTCAGTGAAGGCTTACACAGCAGTTTAGTTTCCCATTCAACAATTTCTACACAAATTATTCAGTAATATTAATTGCATTTTTCACAATGTATGAACATCCTCATTATTTTTGTTCTGGTCATTCCATTTCGATTACTCTAATTTATCTGTCCCAGCTCATCTTTCTTTTAAGGTAATTGTAGATCATTTTTTAAAAGAGTACAGTGCTCTTGGATGCTATGCTTATTTGACAGGCAGCTAACAGATGACCTCACTGATTTGTTTTGGCTTGAAAATTTAAAGAGTATCACAGGACAGTAGTCTCTTGAGATCCTTGAGTCTCAACTGATGCATTAACTCTGGATTTTTTGTTGTTGTTGTGAAATTTGAGATTCAGTTCCACTTTTTTTTTTCATTATATCATAATCCTTCTGCTGTTTCTCTGATCAGAATGGTCAGTAGTGGTAACTGGATATCGTCTAGTTCTCATCTCAGGGGAGACGTGGCTGGGGTTTGTATAGACCGTTAGTGCTCTAGTGTCCTATTCTGTGGATAGTGGTGCTCCTAACTCAAACGCTGTGCTTCTCTGGTGGTCTGAACCTACCAACAACTCCTTGAGAGAAAGGTATACAGTCTCCTCCCATGTGATTTACAGCCTCAGAAGCCAACTGGAGGGTCAGCTGTGTGTCACTTCCTACTCAGCAGCAGTGATTTATTAGACTAGCACTTTCTGAGAGGTTTCCTTCTTTCAGTTTGGTTCCTGATGAGAAATTCAGTGACTTTCTTAATTGTAGATACAAAAATATGTCAGAGCTCATAAATATCCTCCAAGAATAATCAATTTGCAATTATTACTAGAGAATGAAAATAGTTATTCTTTTAATCTTTGGCTTTTAATGAAATAATTATTCTGAGATATGTTATATATTTCTCAAGCAATTACACATTATATTAGATAATAGAAGCACATTTTCAGTAAATTATTACAAATCTCCTGTTTTTCATAATCTAGAAATCATTCTAGTAGTCAAAAGTTTGGGGGTTATTTTTAAGTTGCATGTCTTATAGTTCATTCAGTAATTCACAGAGTCATATATCCTTCCAAGGACAGTCAATGCCCATAATGAGCCAGAAAAATAAAAGAATGGAGCAGAAAATGTATCCTGATGGCATAGTGATAAGGGATGACTCTGACCCAG